TATAATATATAATATAATTATAATAATATAATATATAATATAATTATAATAATATAATATATAATATAATTATAATAATATAATATATAATATAAGTAATTTAATATAATATAATATATAATATAATTATAATTTTCGTATGTATATACATATATTTATGTGTGTATATATATTTATTTTATATATTATTTATATATATACATATATATTTTTTTTATGTATGAGTACTTTATTTTATCTTCCAGAACGTAAGAACAAAGTTGAATTGTTCTTTATTGTTAGAAATATATGTTTTTACATTATCACTAAATATATTTATTAATAACATTTATAATTTTCTTATGTATATTATATATATATATATATATAAAAAAGAGAAATATCGATAAAACGATTCTGTTCTTTCTTTTCCGACGCGTTCCAATAATCTCGTTATCCTTCGAGCTTAATAAGCTGAAGGAAAAGCGTGCAACATATTTTCCTTTAAGGTAGAGTCTTTCTAAAGTAACAATAAGCACGTTATAAACACGGTATAGTCTATCATGCACGTCAGTCTTCAACCATTCAAGGAAAACCTATGTCCTTTCTACACGTTTCTATTTGTCTCTATGTGTATTATATGTGTCTCTACTATGTACATATGAGTATGTATATTATAATTGATTTTAACCACTTCTCTCTACACACACACACACACACACTATTATACATTATTAAACATATATTTTACTTACGTATTGATGATTACTGCATTTTATTAAATGTCTTTACGTATATCGAATTTATTTATTTTTTTTTTTTATTATGTTTCTTTCTTTCTTTCTTTGTGCTTTTTTTCTTTTTTCTTTTTTCTTTTTTCTTTTTTCTTTCTCGCACTTTCATGATTTCATTCTTTTTATAAGTTCGTTTATTTTATAATTAAATATTATTTTTCTTCTAGAAATTAGATAAATCAAATTTGGGATTGAATTTTGTTAATGTTAGATGTATTTTTAACGTATTTTATTTTAAAGTTGAATTTGAAATTTTTTATATATACATTTTTCTTTGTACATAATCTCTACTGTATATATATATATGAGTATGTATTTATAAAAGATTTTAATCACACTTATACACACTATTATACATTATTATTAGACATATATTTTACTTACGTAATGCATTTTATTAAATGTCTCTACGTTTATTGAATTTATTATTTTTTTTTTTTTTTTATTATGTTTCATTCTTTGTTTCTTTCTTTTTGTTTTCTTTTTCTTTCTCGCACTTTCATGGTTTATTTTTATTTTTATTTTTATTTTTATATATATATATAAATTCGTTTCTATTATAATTAAAATATTATTTCTTTGATAAAGGTTTAAGCAAATAAAATTTGGGATTGAATTTTTCTAATATTAGATGTATTTTTAACATATTTTTAGTCTCGAGTTGAATTTGCAAATTTTGTCTACTTTTCCCTTTTATTTTTTTTCTCTTCGTAGATACTTTATGTATACATCTACATAGATACGTAGAATTTATTTCAAAAATATATTCTAACGTTTGATCAACAAGATATGAATTGTATGTATGATAAAAGAAAAAAAAAAAAAAAAGAAAAATTTGTTTCTTACAAAATTGATCCTCGAGTTCAATTTGAAATTTTCTATATTTTTTCTCTCTCTTTCTCTTCAATGATACTCCATGTATACACCTATATATATATATATATATATATATATACGTAGAATTTATTTTAAAAATATATTCTAACGTTTGATCAACAAGATATGAATTGTATGTATGATAAAAAAAAAAAAAAAAGAAAAATTTGTTTCTTACAAAATAATTCATCTCGCAAAATATAACTCTTGAATATTCTTGAAAAATAATAAATCATACTGCAAAGTGGTATGTAACGATAAACGATTTGTCCTTGATGTGTTTGAACATACAACTAAATTTCTCAATTATATTCATTCTTTCGTTATTGATGAATAAAAACTGTTTTGTCTTTTTGTTTTTTTCAAATTCTTGAGAAAAAAAAAATACAATATGGAAAGAAAAGCATAAACATTGAAGACAAATTGCAAAGAAAGGCAGACTACTTTCTAGTTCCTGATTCATGGTATGGTTGGTTGTATTAGACTGTAAAAAAGTGCAAAAAAGTGTAAAAAAAAGAGAAAAAAACCAACGAGTAATGTTTCTTTTTGTTGTCTTCCTTTTCATTTTTCTTTTTTTCTTGTTCGTTTCGCAAATTCTCGACATCGTTGAATAAGCGAAACGTTTTTTCAATCCTTTTCTTCGTATATATTTCCGTGCTGCTGTTGGTACTGCAACAGCAGCAGCAGTAGCAGGGATTACACCATTTGGAATTTTTGCTTTGGCTCCCGGGCAATCTCCTGTGGCAAGTGGGCCATCTTAAAGGGGAAGTTTTAGATTCACTGTCTGTTCTCTGGGTTGTTGGTTGTTTGCTGCTGGTAATGGGTGGAAATGAAAGATTAGTGGTTTGTGATTGCATAAATAGAAACACTGATGTTACTCGTCAAATTTAACTTCAAATCTTTTTACGTTTTTAATCAAATGATTATTATTAATAAACAAAAAATATTTCTGTTTCAGAATTGCCAGCCGAGGAGGGTAAGTCACCAATAAAATTCAAATATTTGTGAAAGGTAGTGTAAGAATTAAACGATATCAAATCGGCATCTTGAAAATTTACATATTTCTTTTGGTTTAATCAAATATTCATGAAAAAACAAATTCATTAGAAATGAATGCATTCGTTTTTTTTTTTTTTTTATAATTAATACATTTGTTATATAAAAAGTAATATGTTTACTTAGGAGTTAATCAAATGAACGAATTAAGAAAGACGTGGGATGTGATTCAATTTTTCATCCCCTTTAAGTTTATAAGTACATATATATATATAGATATATTAATTAATTATATTTAATAATTTATTATATAAATTAATTAATAATATATATTATTTATTTACTTATATTTTATGTATACATATATTAAAATTAATAATTAATTATATATATATATATATTATTATTTTTATTATTTATTATAAAATATTATATTATAATTTATATAATATATTAATATTATATATATTTTATATTATATTATAATAATATGTGTTATTTACATTATATATATATTATAATTTATAAATTATAAAATATTTTATAATTAATTACATTTTATAATTTAATATATTAATTGATTAATAATATATATTATTTATTTATTTATATTTTATATATATATATATATATATATATATATATATGTATTAAAATTAATAATTAATTATATATTATTATGTTTATTATTTATTATAAAATATATAAATTTATAAATTTTAAAATATTTAAAATATTATATTATAATATAATTATTATTTTATATATATATTATTATATATTTATAATTTTTTTTTAAATAAAATAATATTACGAATGAAAAATCAATTGAGAAAACATCAAAGTATTAAAACTCATGGAGACGACAAGCTAGTTATTAAAAGCTAACGCTGCAAAACTGATACGAGCGATTGTGTTTCTCTTTTAAAGAAAGAAGTCATTGTAGAATACATATCACCGTTCGCGTATATTTTGCACGAGTAGAGAGAAAAGAAATAGAAATAAAAAGAAATAAAAAGAAACTCTGTCGATCCTTTTCTTTGTTGACGCAATTTACTGACGTCGTCGAAGCTCCTATTTTGCTGTTGGCCAATTATGACGCACATAGTAAGTAAGTAGTATACACGAAGAGGAAACTCGTAATGCCGGATCCGGACAGTCATAGGTTCTCTTCAATATTACGCGGTATGCGCGAAATTCTTGAGGCTTCAACGATTCCGTATGTATTTCCGATTTCTTTCTTTTTTTTTTTTTTTTTTTTTTTTTTTTTCTAAACATCTCGAAATAAAGAAGGAAAATTTCATAGAAACTTTATTAGTAACTTTGTGTGTCTAATGTTATTTATTGATCCGTAAACTGTATATATATATAAGAAATATATTCGTTTGGTAGAAATAACAATTCTTGTTACTTCTACGAATATACTCGTCGGGTAAAAAAAAAAAAAAATAAAACAGTTTTACTTTTAATTTATTATTTTTCTATTTTAAAAATTATTATTACATTTTTTTTATAATATATATTATATATATTATATTATTATTATATATATAATATATAGTATTATATTTATTATATATAGTTAATATATAGTTATATAGTATAGTTATATATAATTATTAATATATATAATTATATATTATATAATACATAATTATAATACATATAGTATAATTATATAGTTAATTATATATATATATATATAATTTAATATAATTAAATATATGTATTTAATTATATATATATATATATATATATTATAATTATTAACAGGAATAAAAAAAAAATTGCAATGAAACCCAGTTGAATTCATCTGACATTGGTAAGGAAGGTTCTTTTAAAATGTCAAGGTCAACAAATTCGCAAAGATCAAGGAGTTTTCTTTTTACTACGGTTGATGCGTCTCGTAATATTGCAGCACGTGGTTTGAAACGTTTGTCAAAAAGGTGGGGGGGGTGAGGGTTGTTGGGGGTGTATTTAGAGAAACATGTGAGTGATGGAGCACATCGTTATCGAACTGGAACAGCCTTTAACCATATACGGTTCTCCTCCTCCTCCTCCTCCTCCTCCTCCTCCTAGATCGGAAGAGCGTTCATAAGCTTCGAATGCATTACGAGCTGACGACGTATGCGTATGCTCGACCTAATGAATGTGTTCATCCATATGTGTTTTCCCTTTCTCTCTCTCACTCACTCTCACTCCCTCACTCTCATACTCTGTCTGTTTATCTGTTACATACGAAGATGTATATACGTTCACACATATTGCAAGCATGCACGTTGTTGTTATAGATATATGTGATATGTATATATATATATCATCGTCATGCACAGGTACTCTGTTTAACATTATGCGAGTGCACACGGCATATTTCACTCGAGTCCACACACATATAATTACATTGACATTACGACGCACAGTGCACAAAACTGTTACTTGATTCGAGTTTTAATAATCACTTAATTTTGTCAATTTTTAATGCCGAAATTATCGTTTTTTTCTTCCTTCAATTATAATCGTCACGTTAATTATTATTATTATTATTATTATTATTTTTCTTCTTCAAATTTTCAGGTAAATCCATCTGGCAACTTGTATTGGAACAATTCGACGACCTCCTAGTTAAGATTCTATTATTAGCCGCTATTATCTCTTTTGTACGTATAATAATAATAATAATATGTTTTGAAATAGTCATAGTTAGTTATTTAGAAAAGTTACTGGAAAAAAATAGCAAGGAATTGTTTGTCGTAGTTATTATCGGTGTAAACGTTACTTATAATTAACCCTTTTTCGGACGTATTCAATTTGGACATGGGTATCATAGTAGTTGGAATTATTTTATATATATATATATATAATTTTTATTACATATATATAATATATTTATTATGTAAAATACATATTATATGTGTAAAGATACATATAAAATATATATAAGATTAGCATGGTTTCTTGTGTGGTGACTGAAAGTGGACACGCGTCCGTAAAGGGTTAATGTTATATAATATTTATTAATGTTTTATTTTTATACTTCGATTAACGTGTTAAAGTATATATATATATATGAAACTGAAAGAAGAAGATATAGAATTTGAATCATGCATTACGATGATGATCATCGTATGTATGTATGTATGTATGTATGTATGTATGAATGTAGTCAACTGTCGTTTAGTATACCCGTCTATGGTATAACTCTGTAGTATATATTGCTATAAATATATCTAATATCGGTGATATTAAAAATATACATGATCGATTTTACGTAGCCATGAAACTTTGTTATTTTCATGCGAGAGCATGGAGTCTTTATATTGTATATAGTTAATCGTTATCTTTTCAATCAGGTATTAGCTTTATTTGAGGAGCATGAGGATGCGTTCACGGCCTTCGTCGAACCTTTCGTCATTTTGCTCATCCTTATCGCCAATGCCGTGGTAGGTGTTTGGCAAGAACGTAACGCCGAATCGGCGATCGAAGCGTTGAAAGAATATGAACCCGAAATGGGTAAAGTTGTACGAGGTGACAAGGCTGGTGTACAAAGGATTCGAGCGAAAGAAATCGTTCCCGGTGATATTGTTGAGGTGTCTGTCGGTGATAAGATTCCAGCCGATATTCGTCTTTGTAAAATCTTCTCTACTACTCTCAGGATCGATCAATCTATCCTTACCGGTGAATCTGTTTCGGTTATTAAACACACGGATCCTGTTCCCGATCCACGTGCCGTCAATCAGGTTCGTACAATTTCATTTAAATATAATCTATCGCAAGATTAACAATTATTTTCACCTATTTTCTTATTACCTTCCCTTTTTTTTTGTTTTTATAGGATAAGAAAAATATCTTGTTCTCTGGTACCAATGTAGCAGCTGGTAAGGCACGTGGCGTTGTTATTGGAACTGGTTTAAATACCGCTATTGGTAAAATCCGTACCGAAATGTCCGAGACTGAAGAGATCAAGACACCCCTTCAACAAAAACTCGACGAATTTGGTGAACAATTATCCAAGGTTATCTCCGTCATCTGTGTTGCTGTATGGGCCATCAACATCGGTCACTTTAACGATCCCGCTCACGGTGGATCCTGGATCAAGGGTGCTATCTACTACTTCAAGATTGCTGTCGCTCTTGCCGTCGCTGCCATTCCCGAAGGTTTACCAGCTGTTATCACGACTTGTTTAGCTTTGGGTACTAGACGTATGGCTAAGAAGAATGCTATTGTACGATCCTTGCCATCTGTCGAAACTCTTGGTTGTACTTCTGTTATTTGCTCTGACAAGACTGGAACGTTGACTACGAATCAGATGTCTGTTAGCCGGTATAATTTGCTTTTCATAATGTTTTTAAATAATTCATTGTATTTAGGTTGATTAATTAATGGGCACAATGTTTTTTCTTTTTTTTTTTCAGAATGTTTATTTTTGATAAAATCGAAGGTAACGATAGCTCATTCCACGAGTTTGAAATTACTGGATCAACTTACGAACCGATCGGTGAAATCTTCTTGAGAGGACAAAAGATCAAAGGACAGGATTATGAGACTCTTCACGAGATTGGTACGATCTGTATTATGTGTAACGATTCGGCTATTGACTTTAACGAGTTCAAACAAGCTTTCGAGAAGGTTGGCGAAGCCACGGAAACGGCTCTGATCGTTTTGGCTGAAAAGGTGAATCCTTATGGTGTGACGAAGAGTGGACTAGATCGTCGTACTTCAGCTATCGTTGTTAGGCAAGATATTGAAACGAAATGGAAGAAGGAATTCACATTGGAGTTCTCTCGAGATCGTAAATCCATGTCTTCATATTGTGTACCTCTGAAACCTAGCAAATTAGGAACTGGACCGAAACTTTTCGTTAAGGGTGCACCCGAAGGCGTATTGGACAGGTGCACGCATGCGCGTGTTGGTAGCCAGAAGGTTCCTCTTACATCGACTTTGAAAAATCGTATCTTGGATTTGACGAGACAATACGGTACTGGACGAGACACTTTGCGTTGTCTTGCTTTAGCAACCGCTGATCATCCGATGAAACCCGATGACATGGATTTGGGTGACTCCACTAAATTCTATACTTACGAAAAAGATCTCACGTTCGTTGGTGTCGTTGGTATGTTGGATCCACCACGAAAAGAAGTCTTCGATTCTATTGTCAGGTGTCGTGCTGCTGGTATTCGTGTTATTGTTATTACTGGCGATAACAAAGCCACCGCTGAAGCTATTTGCCGACGAATTGGTGTTTTCACTGAAGAGGAAGATACGACTGGAAAATCTTACTCAGGACGTGAATTTGATGATCTCTCACCAGCTGAACAGAAATCAGCTTGTGCGAGAGCTAGGCTGTTCTCTCGTGTAGAACCAGCTCACAAATCGAAGATTGTTGAGTACTTACAAAGTATGAACGAGATCTCAGCTATGGTAATATCAAATTTAGATTCATATAATAAATAGTCTTTTAAATAATAATATGTATTTTAATTGTATTCTGTATTCTCGTTTCTAGACCGGTGATGGTGTGAATGATGCCCCTGCCTTAAAGAAAGCTGAAATTGGTATTGCTATGGGTTCTGGAACGGCTGTAGCAAAATCGGCCTCAGAGATGGTATTGGCAGATGATAATTTCTCTTCTATCGTCGCTGCTGTTGAAGAAGGTCGTGCTATTTATAATAACATGAAACAATTCATTCGTTATCTTATCTCATCTAATATTGGTGAAGTCGTAAGGTAAATTAATTACAAAAGAACTTTTTTTATAAAGTAAAATCTTATTTTTCATTAAACATGAAAATATTTATTTTCTAGTATATTCTTGACGGCCGCTCTTGGTCTTCCCGAAGCTTTAATTCCAGTACAACTTCTCTGGGTTAACTTGGTCACTGACGGTCTTCCAGCCACTGCCCTTGGTTTTAATCCACCTGACTTGGATATCATGGACAAGGTAAAAATAGAAACGATGAAATACAAAGTTGCATAAATATTAACAACTGTAGTACAACATTTAATTAATTATCATTTTGTTTACGTATAGCCTCCTCGCAAAGCCGATGAATCTCTTATTTCCGGTTGGCTATTTTTCCGATACTTGGCCATTGGTGGATATGTAGGTGCTGCTACTGTAGGATCTGCTGCGTGGTGGTTCTTGTATAGTCCGAATGGACCACAAATGAATTATTATCAATTGGTAAATAACTATCAATAAGTTAAATAACATTTCTAATCTGTGTTGTTTAACAAAAAAAATTGTTCCAATCAAATTTAGACTCATCACTTGGCTTGCATTGGTGGTGGAGACGAGTTCAAAGGCGTTAATTGCAAAATCTTTTCTGATCCTCATCCAATGACCATGGCTCTTTCAGTACTTGTAACTATTGAAATGTTGAACGCTATGAATAGGTAAATTTGAGATTCTGTTAGAATAATATTTTGTTGTTGTTTGTTTAACACTTTAAGCGCCTAGCCTTTTGTTTAACATTTCGTTCACGTCACGTTAATTACTGATAACCGAATAGACAGTTTACTGTTAGCTGGCGCTTAACGTGTTAATCAATTTCAAGTAATTACGTGATATACGAATTTGTTGATAATCTCTCTTAGCTTATCGGAGAATCAATCACTCATCTCGATGCCGCCTTGGTCCAACATGTGGCTCATCGCCTCCATGGCTCTTTCCTTCACACTCCACTTTGTCATTCTTTACGTCGACGTCCTTTCGGTAATAATAATTTATGATATAAATAATTAACGATTTATCGATCACTTATCTATCGTGCTAATTACGTGTTACACTTATTTCAGTCCGTATTCCAAGTGACTCCCTTAACGGGTGAAGAATGGGTTACCGTTATGAAGTTTTCCATTCCAGTGGTACTTCTAGACGAAACCCTGAAGTTTATTGCCAGAAAGATCACAGATGGTGAGAATCCAATTTACACCGTGCATTGGATCGTTCTAATGTGGGCTGTGTTCTTTGGACTATTGCATATTTGTCCCATATAGAACATCCGTGAACAAAGATTAGTGTAGCGAACAATGTTTTTCCTATGGAAAGCATTTATAACTGAGTTCTTGGACTTGCAAATGCATTTAACTAAAGTTCTTCCCTCCAAGGTGCGGGAAGGTCAAGATAAGTTATTAACAAAGTGCGTTTAAGTGAGATTTTAACGAGTTTGACTGTTGTGCATGGTGTTAGTACAACCATTAAACAAAAAAAAACAAAAAAGAAAAAAAAAACAAAAAAAAAATAACAGAAAAAGATACGTCGCCCAAGGCTCACCAGTCCGCATCACATATATATACACATACACAGACCGTACCTTTCAAATATGTCCCATGATCACGTGGGCTTTTAAGTGGCCGCTCGAGTGATTAAGAGACTCACATCTTTGCCGTAATCAAAGAATTAATTATTATTATTATTAAATTATTTTTTACGAGTGCCTTTAAATGTTAACTTGTTTTTGTCCGAGAGAAAATACACGTAGGTGTTATTTCTTATCAGGTCTAGCCGAAACCTTCCCATTGTTTTTTTGCACGCATGCATTTTAATTAGTGATATGTACACATTCCAGTATCATTTTTCGTCCGGTAATTCCTCAACTTTTTAAATTTGTGGCACATTATTAATTGCACTTGTACTGATTTATTCTAAGAAATTCCATCGATGTTCATACATCAATGAACTTTTCTCAATAAAGTAATATATATATATATATATCTTATTAAATCTAACGAATTAAAGAACATCAATGGAACGATAAAATTGATTGAAAAAAAAAAAAAAAGAAAAAAGAATTTTATTAAGCGAAATAATAATTTCAAGTAAATTGTTGACCTTACTTGCACGCACATGGTAAATTTTTGCACATACACACACACACACGTACGTTCCTTTGATTTTAAACTTTAAACGAGCACGCTAATTATTTATTATTATTATTATTCTCTGCTTTCTTTTTTGATTGTCTGCTTATTATCAAATTCTGTGTTTAATGAATTCTTTAGCATCAAGAGTATCTGCTTCAATGAAGAGGTCAAAACGGGAGCTGTCTGATAAATTGCTGAAATGTCAAGAGAGTAATTTTGCATGGAGTTTGGATTAATGGAAAAACCTTTATTAATATTTCCCGTACATTGCCACGTGTCTTCCTTCTTATTGGGATATAGTGCATGCAACCCTTACAGAGAAAATATCCTATTAGTATCTCACAAATCCCTGGTAAACAAAAATTAACAATATTAATAATCCTGCTGTGTCTATCAGTTTTAGAACAAGATCAAACCTTAATTATTTTGCAACCTTATTTCGTAAGATCTGCAAAGTAATAATGTAAACAATATATAGCATTTGTTTTTAGTTTATTTCCATAAATCGCGTTTTTATAAATTTATTGCCTTGCCAATTCGAATAGATCTGTAGATTTAAGAGATCGTCAAAAATGAAGATATATATATATATATATTAGTTTGTATCGATGCATCCCATTCTAGTGATTCATACGTATTATATGTAGATACCTTTTGAAGTATACGAAGTAAATGTTTGTGTAGTACGGTATTAATAACATCCCTTTTATAAAACGAAAAGATGCGACAAGGCACAGCAGGACATAGTTTGTAACACCTTGCACTTAATTATTAATTTAAATAACTCGATTATATCTACAAACGTGTACGTACTTTTTTTTTTTTTTATGTTCATAATTTCTATATATTAATTCTTTAAATACAAAAACAAACAAAACAAAGAAAAAAAGAAAAGAAAAGAAAAGAAAAAAGAAAACACGTTACGCTGTAACTGTGTGTATATCATCTATGTGTGCGATGTGGACCCCATCAAGTTGTGTCATTGATTATCGTCGTTGTCTATCGTCGTCGTCGTCGTCGTCGTCATCGTCGTCGTCGTCATCGTACGTGCGTATGTCTCTCTCTGTGTATACATAATAAATTAGCGATTAAATAAACATTGTTAATTTGTTCGAGGTCAGCTTGAGTGGTCCATGTCTCTCTCATCATCGTTCTCAAATCTGCTGGACCGGTTGTGAGCTTTTTTATAATCCAAAATGACTCGATCGTTAGCTTGAATCGTTCCTAATAATAACGTTTACTATGTACAAAAAAAAAAAACTAGAGTTATTCAATTAGAAACATTTAAATCGATAGAGTCATTTAAAAGAGGGAAGTTAAAGCTTACACCGGTCCAGATTTTACATGCACCACACATACGATAACTCACAAAAACATATACACACTCACATATTCATACACAATATAAATGCGCGATGAAAAATTGAGAACGATTGATTGATAACCGTTTTCTAATAATTCGTGTGGGCTTTCAATGCGCCTCTGACTGTTCTTTAGTCATCTCAACAAAATCTCGGGGTTTTTTTTTTATATATATATATACATATATGAATAAATACATCAAATACATCATACACAGCTGATTAGTAGAGCTGTTAAAAAAGTGCACGAATAAATGCTCTACGAATCCACTTTTTCCATATATATACATTTGCAAACGCAACAAGACTGACGATGTGGTTTTATGAGAAAAGAGTGGGTGGTTCGTTTGTGCGGCCCGTACAAATAATACAAAATATTCACAAAAATAGATAATTCAATGAAAAAGAAATAGACAAAATAAAAATAACGCGGAATTAAATCGTTCAACGCGATAATAATAATAATAATAATAATATATATACAAAACATTAAAAGTTGCGTTAGATATGGTTCCCGGATTTGAATCAATTAAAGCCCATCATCAATCGCGGTGGACAACTTATATAGTGTAATATATATATATATATTAATTAATTATGTTAATGGTTAAGGCGTAATACTTTGGTATGGGCATAATTTAACTTAATTAGGTGTGGTTGGAGAAAGAGAGAAAGAGAGAAAGAGAGGCGAGTTTAAAATGCGAGCGTACGAACACACGAGGACGAAAAAGATAATGAAAGACGAAGAGAAACAAAAAAACATAAAAAAAAAAGAGTCACCCCAGCATCACCTCTACACTCATCTACATTTTACACATACACGTAGGATAATTATGTAATTACGGAGATGCGATCGAACAGCCAAGTTAATTAGCATGGCCGATAAATCAACGGTGTCGTTTTATTCAAACGAACATCGGACATCTTTTTAAGATCTTTTTAAACTGCCACCGATCATCATTTTCTTTTTCGTCCTGTTCCGTTTTTGCATTTCGTTTTACATGGATTTTGTGTATTGATTTTTTGTTTGTTTGTTTGTTCCCCTTTCTCTCTTTCTCTTGGTATGCGTAGGCTCGATTTTCTATAACCAATCAAAAATCGTGCTATTCGAATATAATTATTCATTTAATTTAATATTACTAGAAAACAATTTTACAGAATTACTATTCCATATTTTTTAAGTATGTTCTTTTGTTTTGTTTTGTTTTATTGTTTTCTCTTTTGCGATTTATTGAAAAATATTATTTGTGTTTTTTTTTTTTTTTTTTATTGAGTCAGCTTT